TCTGTCTCACATATAAACTGCATATGCATAAGTACCCTTTTCTCATTTTCTTTTCAAATCCTTCATCTGTTTAACCACTCCATGCAACTGATGAAGTGAGCTACAGCCCACAAAAGCTTGTGCCTTTCAATAAAGCTTGTTAGGCAAAAAGGTGCTACCAGACTCTTTAATTAGTAATTAAACAATTCTAAAGCACTGCAATTTTTCTTTATTTTGAAAGGAAATAAGGTTAAATCTTAAAATTATCAGAACTTAAAAGATTCTCATCCAAAAAGCTGAGATTGTAAGTGAATTCCCTTTCTAAGATGTTTCTACCCTGTTCTGTTGTCAGGACAAATCCTGGTTCTCCATTCATGATTGTCAAGCCTGAGGAAGAGATTCCATTGTGGTGCCAAAATTACACTAACAAAAATGAAGTGATTTTATGCCGCCCCCCCGGCTTAAAATTGTCCTGCCTAGGCTTCCCCTCCCAACCTTTTTGCATGTAAGATACAGTTATGTCCTTAATTGCTTTGTGGATTAAATATAACTCTAAAATGAAGTCTGTGAAATAGATAATGCTTATATATTCTGTGTTAAATATATATAGTCATTCCAGATCTGGCACCAAAAAAAGTTGAATTATGTGTACTGGAGACATTTAGCCTGTAATTGTTTTGTATATTTATGAATTTTTTAGAGGAGGGGCAAAGAACTATGCTGGACATTGCAACACTAAGAAGAAATCCTATTCCAGCAGTAAGTTGCTGTCTGAGATAGCACAAATTAATGTTTGGCGCACTTTCAAATATATTCTCTTAGCCTTAAAGCGTTGAAAGTAAATAGAGAATTTCAGGATGTACACTTGCCATATGCAAAGTGGCTAATTATAATAGCTATTCTGGGATGGTCTATCATAGCGTAATGCAGAGAAGAGAATCCTGGAGCTTCACAGCCACATGGGGTTCTTGAGCCTCTTTGCAGCCTTGGAAGCACTTTCATCCTTAATGCTGCAAAATTATCACCATTTTGAGGTAGGATGTAGACAGACAAGTTCTACAATAGGTTTACTGTGGTTTGAAAAACAAGCCCCAGTTCTCCCCAGAATTTGCAATATGCCCGTTGTAGCCCTTGGTCGCCAGAAAATTGTCCATTAATATACCAGCCAAATGATTGTTCCAGTTTGAGTTATAAAATTGGTTCTAATTTAGGAGGACTGTAAATTGATTCAAGCAAGGAGCAGCAACTTTCTAGATGTCAGTTATTCCATGTTTCTCTTGAATAATGTCTTAGTGAGCAACAATAAATTTTGGGGCAGGGGAGGGAGTGGAATTTAGGTGTGCAGGGGTTTTTTTTGCCCTAGATGTATTAAGCCATCCTTTGGCTTATGTACATTTTTTGTTTTGTTTTGTTTTGTTTTGAACCCTCTAAACCATGGAAGATTATTCCTTCACTTATTACTGGTTTGCCACTGAATTTAAGCACTATGATTGTAGGTGGTTCTGGAGATCACACAAAAGAAGTCGGTTCTGCATAAAGAGATATGTACTTTCTCCAACTGCTGTAACCCAATTATCAGTACCAACATTTTAATCAAAATGATTAACTCCAGGCTTTGCACCTGCCAGCTATTTAGAAGAATGAATTGTCTTGACTTTGAAGGTAGCATTAAAGGGAACCTTTATAGTAGAATTTATTTTCTTGTCTACTTATGCTGGGCTTAGTAAGTAGATAATGGTAGCATTTATGTAATGCTAGCTAAAAAATGGATTATTTAACACACAGCTGCCTTGGTCTATTGTTACCTTAATTACTGTGCACCAGAATTATCATAAAATGCTTGTGGACAATTTATGCAAATAAATACGTAGAATGAGGGATGTTGTTAGACTGAAATTCTCATAATTCAGTCAAATTATTGTATTTTTGTTAATCTGCTCTACTGAGGCAGTTGCTCTCAGGTACTTGTTAGAGAAAATGTTAATCTACTGGATAGATTTACTGCCATATAAAATAGTTCTGAGTTCATTTGCTTTTTGTAAAATACACATTTTTAGTGCCAAGTTTTGGAAAATATATATACTGCCTAGGTAAGTAAGTCTTACTAGTTTTATTTTCTACACTATTAAACTTCCTGTTACTATTTTTCCTATATAGAGCAATCCAATATTAAGAGTAAACATTTTTATTGTATAACTTTTATGTGCTATGTATTTTTGTACCAGCTTAAATAAATCAAGATTGTCTCCATTTAATTTTTTTTTTTCTGTTCTGGCTTTTGTAAGATTTCTAGTATTTAGTCACTATAGGTTTAGGTACTATACTGTTAATTATCTTAGGGTTTAGCACCACTTTTTAATGAATGTTGATGGTGTAACAAATTCAGTAGTAGTTGCCTTCGTTGCAAAAACAGCCATAATCAAGGTATGTTGGATCCACTAAAGCTATGGTTAACAATACAGTGGGAAAGCTTTGGGCTGTCTTCCAAATATGTATACATCCCAGACACTAAGCTGCTATATGCAACCACAAGGGTTTTGTTACCTCTCTACTCTTCCAAAAAAGTAGATGTATGTGCTTGTTAATATTGAGAAAATATTGCCAGGGTATGTGAGCAAAAGCATCACATATTAGCAACTATGGTGCAGTAGTTAAGCTGAACCAGAGAAACTTGAATTCAGGCCTACTTTCAGCAGGTTATTTATAACAGTCACTCAGTCCAACCTACCTCACAAGGTTGTTGTGGGAATAAAACAGAGCACTCAGTGTAAGCTCCCCACCTTGAACTCCTGGAGAAAAGTCAGGATATACATTTAACAAATGAGTAGATACACTTAAAAGGGCCAAACTGTGTCCAAATTGTTGCCAAGAAAACTACATAGATGCGTCCATGAAGCCAAGATTGACTCAAGAACATTATATAATACTTATTGTAAACATAATTTCCCTTTGCCTGTATTTATGTGGAAATTTAAAATTTTTTACTTTAGTGATTTAAACTTTTCCAGATCTATATTATTGTTTAGATTCCTTTACATGTCAGCAAGATTATTTAGCTAACTCATATTGTATGTCAAGACAACAAGCTTGAACAATGGAGGAGCCCTGATTGCATCATCCAATTACATTCAGAAATAGAAAATATTTTGGAAAAAAAAAAGGATTAAATTAATTCCCTGTATCTGAATATTATTTGTTCTCTTAACCAAGATGAAGTTTCTTAGTATGGTCAAAATATTGACCTTGTGCTCCCATTCAGATGTATGGTATTAATGTTTCTGATTGTTAGCCATCATAGGATAGATAATTTGACACATATCTGACTATCTGAGAAGAATATATCTGAATGTATAAATCACAGTAATAATGATATTCTATTCTCTTTATCAAACATTCAGGTTTGTAGATGCCTGTGAAAACCCTTAAGAATAAATTAAAAAGTACTTCAGAGGGTGGAAATTACTAAACAATGGAAACTTGGAAACACAATAGATTCTACATAAAATAATGTTATATTATTTTGTTTTCTGCCAGCTTACCCAACCTTGCATGAAACTTCCTATTGTATTGCATTATAATTGTATCACCTCCAGCCAGTTTGGTGGTGCCGTTCAATATAATTGGAGGACATCAAACTGGGAAGACTACAGCTCATTCTTTAGAATTGTTTTATATAAAATAGAAACATGACATAACAGTTGTTTAGTATTTTCCTGATTTTCCATGCAAATTCTCATCAAATAAGAATTATTTGATCTTCCTTTTATAATTCCCTAGCATTAACTCTAGCCACTATAATTTTTAAATTTATATTTACATGAATATAGCTCTACAAGATTCAGGCTTTACCAAAAATTTCCTTGTTTATTAAATCAGTTACAATTTTTTGTTTTTCTTTACTGAAGAACTGAATGAATTGAAACAAATTATTGAAACTTGATGAAATTCTATCTGGGCTAGTAATTTCTCAATACTTTTAATAGAAATCTCCATTTTTTTATTACAACAATTAATTGAACTCTATATTCTGTTGTATATCAGGAAATGGTTATATTTTATTGGTAAATATCCTCAACAAAAGTATTCATAGATTTAGATATTAGTTCTAATTTCACAGCAAGAATCTATACAACTGTTTATCCCTAATTGATTTGTTTAAAAACCCTATTCATTAAATATTTGGAATTTAGTTTGAAACTCTAGTGTGTAGCACAAATTTTATATCCAAGTTCAGAGGTTTGTTAAAACTAATGAACAGTTCAAGTATTCTCTCCCATATTATCAAGCAGCATTTTCACATTCTCTTAAAAGAAACAAATTCACTCTTAAATACTCAATATTTGTATTTATATAAGCAATATGTTTAAAAAAATACTTTAATAAGCTTTTCCAGAATTGCAGACAGGGAGCTAGGTAAGAGACACAGGTATTACCAACAGTGCAAAATTACTATGTGAAAAATTTATAAAAACTACTTTGCAATTTTTTTTTTTGATTTCTTTCAAAATATCACTTTAAACCCTTTATAAAGCCAACAGTCAGGCCTGTTGAATTGAAGGTTTGATTCAGACTGCACACAATGCACTTTATGGATCAGGACACAATAGTGCTTAAAATATACATTACAATCACTATACACAAGCTGCACTGACTTTTCAATCCAATTTGGAAGCAATGGGTTTCATCTTTTCCAAACTGCACTAAAAGCTTGTTTGAACTGGTTACTAAATTACAAGATTTTTAAATAGTACTACTAGTGCAATGTCTTTGTCAAGTTATAGTGGCTGCATTTTAAAGAACATGAATAAAATATTGTATAAACACCTGCATAAATGAGATGCACATTACAATTAAATACTTAAAAACAGCTGAGCATTACATATTGAGTATGGAATGTCAGGATTTTCTTAGGCATACCATTAAAGGTAAGATTAAAGACCAAAGTAAAATTTCTGAAAAATGTACACAGTGCTATATTTTACTTACAAGCCTGAGAACAATATATTTATAAACTTTCCTATGAACAGTCTTGCAAGCATTTCCAACCTGCAAAAATACAGACAAGGAACAGAAAATAGGCCTTCAAAGTTGCAATAAGATTTCTAAAAGCATTGCACTGCCTTGCTTTGATATACTTTTTAAAACATAATCTTTGATACGAGGCTACGAAAACTTTGGATTTTCATATTAACAAAATTGGGTTTGGTCAGCCATGGCACTTTCCCTAAAGCAGTAAAGTTTAAAAGATTAAATATTTCATCTGTGCATGAACTGAGATACAGTGTACTGCTTGTGAGCAACAGACAATAAATACTAATCCTATAATGTTAAATCATGGAATTCATCAAAATGTCTCATGAGAAAGCAGAAGGCTAAAAGTAGGTAACTTTAGGAATACCTACAACAAAATTATGTTGGGATAATCTAAAAGGCTACTGGAGTTCATGATTAAAACCAAACGCTATGCATTTTGTCAAATCATTGAATGATCAGATCAACTTGAAGCTATAGTTGTAATGTTTCAAATAAGCTCCAAGACAAGCACATTGTTAATTTTATTTTACATAGCCAATGTGGCAACAAAAAGAATGAAAGACTTTATATGTCATTAAGTGATTGATTCTGTAAATCTTCATTATGGCCATAATCCAAATCCTTTTACGTATGGGAACTGTCGCTTCTGAAACTATCTCCAGACTGACAAGGATTTGTTTCTAATGTAAAAAAACAGGTTAAAAACCCTTATAGTACCTCGTATATGTGCATATTAATACACACACATGCCATAATAACTACCATCTACACTTTTCTACTTCCTCAGAAGTAGTGAATCCATGGATTTGTTGGATACGGCATAAGGCCCCATAGCAAACAGGCTGTGCATTTGTGTTCCTCATCAAGGTAGCCAGATTTAATTGACTCAATTCCTAATTCTACTCTGCTCACTGAAATATACAGATAAACTGATAAATAATGTAATGGATGACCTTGACTAACAAGAGTTAGCAACATTAAAGCCTTTAGCTGATTTTTAAGATTCTATCTCATAAAAAGAAATCTGAAAAACAATTATAAAAGTAAGAACATTTGTGCAATCAAAGCATCATGCTAATCTAAAAATTTTAAGTCACCATTTGTCCCAAGATACAAGTTTGAAAATTCTGATATTCAGAATTGGGTATGCATTTTAAATATTTAAAATTTCTACTGCTTTCTGAAACATGACTTTTATTAATAAAAAAGCTTTAGCAAAATAAAGTGAAGCTGACAACTCCTCAGAAGATCAACTCTCAGAAGATCGAAGTTTACCATACTGTACAAGTTATGAAAATTACACACTTCTTTTTAGTAATGTAAAAATCTTTCAAAGGTTACAAAATCTGGAAAAATACAGAAAGTATTTCTTATTTCCAGATAAGAATATGGAAAGACATCACTGATGTCAACAATTTTACATACAAACCTCTTGGTTTATTTTTAAAATATAATTCATTCATATGTATATGTGTGTGTGTGTGTGTATATATATATATATATATATATATATGCGTATATATATATATATATATACACACACACACACAAACATATACATACACACACGCGCACACACACACACATATA